GACATCGTGACAATTCGTACGATGTTATTTTAACCAAAACGTGCAAATTTTGTAAATTTTTATTCGCCAAACAAAATTATTTTCATCGATTGTGAGAGATAAATTGTATTCAAAATTATTGTTTTTTTTTATTGATTCATGTTTTGGCTCAAACTACTCTTTATTGGTTAATTTACAATTAAACATTTACATTGAATAGAAATGTCACACTGTTATATAGCTGCTTCAAAATACAAATTAAAAAAAAAATTCTTGAAATCAAAAAAAATTTCATTTATATCTAGATGCGGAAGTAGAATAAGGTCTTCTTAATGTTTTATGACTAAACGATAGTGGTACATGACTAAAATACATGAGTGCTTGTTCAAGACAGTTTTCGATTTATTCTCCTTCTTCTCTCTAATCTCGCTAATGGAAATGGTAGCGATATGCTTACACGTCTTTTATTTGTTGATGTATGGCTAGTGTTTAGTTTATTTTTAGCTTCAATTTCTCATAGAAATCAAACTTGATTGGATTTATTGACAATGGCATAATTGAGGCCATTGAATTTTCGATGATTGACGAGATCGTCGGCGCTAGACGAGGTTCCGATGCCGATTGTATTTGAATCGTTGGATGTTGGTGATTTCGGCGACGAATTGATATTTGTTATTGGTTTTCGAAGTACCCCATATCCCATATGACTGTCGTCGGCCAAACGATATGGCTTCGGTTCAATCGTTGGCTTGCCATTGTTGGTGGTCGACGTGGTGGTGTTGGTAGCGTTGGTTGTAATCGTTGCACAATCGCCAATAATCTCATAATCATTCGATGTGATCGGTTGCGATGTTTGCTTCTTGTATGCCGGCGCTGTAATTGTCACAATGGTTCGATAGTCATTATTTGGATTGATTGGCTTCGCTTTTGGTTCAAAGTTGAGCGTATCGTAGTCGCCATTTTTCTTTCTCGTCGACAATAATTCAGCTTCATATGCAGTCATAGTGACTGGCATTTTGCGAGCCGAACCGAACTCCTTCTGAGATTGCGATCGTTGCCAAACGAATTCGGTAATTTCATCTTCAATTGTGCTCGAATTTTCCGTATGTCGAACATCATTTACGCCCAACGTTTTCCAAGCGCTTGTAATATTTTCGATTTGCTCATAGTTTCGATCGTCGTGAATCATACTTTCGTAGCGGGCCGGTATTCGTGGTGGTTGATCAACGACGGGCGAGTGAAC